CTTCCTGAATTAATCTGTGAATCAAAAAAACGCCAGAAATATTGATCTACATTTAGACTGAAAACCTAAGTGTTTCTTTTAACATTCTCTGACGAAATCTGAGCTAAAAAAAGTAAACTTAATTCCTCAATCCTCACGCAAAAAGTGAAAGTTGTAAATCAAAACTAGGGTGAAACAAACAAAAGAAAATAAATAGGTAATTAAACAAATAAATGAATTTAAAAAGCGATAGTAGCAAAGAGCGACAGAGAGAAAAAAAGAGAAGGAAGTAGAAGAGATTTAGCAAAATAGTAAAAAAAAATTATGAAGAACTAACCTCATCAAAAACTCTTGCAATACGTTGCTCAGGTGACTCTTTTTTTGGTGGCATCTTCTACAAAATTGTAGCAACAAATATATTACACAGAGCGTTTTTCAACTAAAGTTAGCGTGCGTAAACACCAAATAAAGTAGAGGTATGATTTGCTAAAGAAAAAAAAAAAAGGAAGAAACCAACACACACGCTCATGCACAAACACAGAAATACAGGCCTAGCTTATGCTTCTTTACCTATTCTTTTCCTTTCACTAGCTCTCCTTTCTTTGTTATCTTCATCATTATCAATCGATTACCGTCATTTCACTAGAGAATCCCATCACTGTCATCATCAACAACACTACTGCCTCGTCGTGAACATCAGTATCACCAACATTCTTAACATATGCATCATCAGCATTGACACCAGCATAATCATCATCATCATCATCACCACCACCATCATAATCATAATCACCATCATCATCATCATTGTCATCAACATTCTTGTCATCGTCACCATCATTATCGTCATCAAACACACACAAGCCTGTACACTTTATCGTCATTGCGCAGCAATGCGTACGCCGCAGATGTGCGTTCTCCAACTGACAAGCAGCATTTTTGGATTCCCGCGATTATCTGTCAGGCAATTAGGCGGCAGTTTAAAACCGTAAGTTAATTTCAAATACTTGATCTTAAAAAATGCGATTTCTTTATTAGGATGATTCCAGTGAGTTTTCGAGAAGTCGATGTACATGGAGTGTCCTATAATGTTTTCACTTTTTCTGTGCAGTTTCTATTTAAATAAACAGTTGATTATGGGTAAGGCATGTCACAATCTTTTATGTTTCTTAATTCATGTAGTTTTGACTCAATTCTTGGCGTTTACAATGTGAAACGATTTTAATTTTCGAGACTGAGAAAAGTTTCTTTTGCTTATTTGTTCACGGCTTGCAACAGGAAAGAAGCAAATACCTTTGTTGCGCATTAATCCATTTTTGCATTAACCGTTTTTAGAATTCTATGGACGGCAGTAGTTTTGCTTACTGGAATTGGCTAATCTGTTACTTCCTAAACGTAAGACCTCTTACATGCGTTCGACGTCGTGTTTCAGTACTCGTGTTATGAGTAGCTGGCTGTTTTTTACTTGACAGTTACTTGTTTGAGTTAACATATTTGGTTTTTGGATTGAAGCAATGTAATAAGTTAGTGCGGAGAATTGACCCTTTAAAGTGATGTTTGAAAAGTTTTAATATTAGTTTTAAGAGGAACTGTATTTAAGAGTGTTATAAATTTTCCTGCGCTTGAAAATAATTTTAAGATAGTCTTCTAATTAAATAGTAGGTTGAGCAATTGAGGATGCACGTTATGGCCAACTTAGAGCCAGCTGAGTTTTTTAAAATTGTCTATCAATCTAGTAT